CTACCTATAATTAAGAATAATGTTACTAATTTCCCAAAAAAAATATTTATTAAAAGAAGAAGCATGAGAATTTGATTATAAAATCACTATTATTTCGAGAGAATGTACAAATAGTAAGAGTTCGAGAATATTCAAATTAGAATATTTATATCAAACACTTTAAAAGTTTGAAAATGGTAGAGCAACTCGAACAACTGATCTGCTCCATATATAATTTTGTTTTTTATTTATTTTTTTCAAATGAATTTTTATATCAAATACAGTCAAAGTTCCATAACTCAAACCTCTATAACTCGAATTTTGCAATAACTCGAACAAAAATTTTGTTCCGACAAGAATATGAGAAAGTGCATTCTATAAGTCGTATTTTTATTTTAAGTATAAAAGTATTTTGCTCTTAAGGGAAGCCTCTTTTTCTAAACCAAATGTTTAATTTCTTTTTCTTATGTTGCTTCTTTGTGCAAATGCCAGTCGTTGGTAGCGTGGTTTAAAGTAATAAAATAACTTCCAATGCTACTCTTAACGATTATATTGAGCTTGATAATGAAATTTGTACTTCAAACTTTCCTACAGATGACGATATTATCTGCTCAAAAAGTATCCGGATTTTGTTGTTTGTTAACTACTCCTTAAGTAATAGACCTTTTTCAAAAATTTTATTTTGTTATGTTGGTACACCCTTTCTTGACATATGGTACAAATTTGAGCGCCATCTGTCAATTAATTTGTTTACAGCAGCTGTTAATGTGAGACTACCTTAAGTGCATTTAGCGATATTTACTATGGAAAATTCTTGTTGTACGCGATTTTTTGACCAAATACGGCACCACTGTCATCGCTCAGGCACCATATTTGCCAGATCTGGCGCCGTGCGACTTTTTCCTGTTCAAGAAACTCAAATTGCCCCTTCTAAGCGCAACGGAAAGTAATGATGAACCCTCAGTAGATAAAATTGTTCATCGGCCTTCCAAGCATGAAGTAGAATACTCATTCAAAGTTCTGAATTTATATTTGTAAACGAATGTTATTACAACTGATCACTATAAGGCATTAAAAAAAATGGAATATCCCAAATCCCAAACACTAATTTCTAGTTATTTCACTTCACTATAACTTCTATGCTGTATTTAATTTTAATTAAATAAACCAATATCTTAATATATAATTCAGAAATAAAAAAAAAATAAGAAATTCTCTAACTTGAAGTCTCCATAAGTTGAACCTATTCTTTGCAAAATTGGACTTCGTTTGACTGTATATATATCTTTTCGTATCTATATATCTATTTCAAATCTATTTCTATATCAAAGAATGCTCGAATATAATATGGTCCTCGGTCATTTTCGTGCGATATAGTTGAAATTCAAAATCCTTGAATATTCGATGAGTTCGAATAATATTTTGAGGAATAATATTTTATAATTTTTCTCAAGTAACACCGTATAATAAAATTATAAATTGTAATATTGTTTTAATTTTACATTTACTATGTTCACATATATTAATTATTAAATATTTTATATTTATAATAAAAACAATAAAAATTTACAAATAATTTTTTTTTTGTATCTTTTCAGGTTTGTTGCAAAAACTTTTTTCAAAATATTAACGTTTATATTCTAAACTATTTACAATACACATATATACATTAAAAAAACACATCTACTATAGCTTCCATACTAGCACTCATACAAACACTTTTTTTAGTAAATAATTCAAATATTTAACAATTTAACATTACACAAACAATAACTCAGATAACAGCTTAGCATTTATATACTGTATATTTTATATATAAGCCCTGCAAAATAGTTAAATAATATAAATAAAAAAAATTAATTAAATTAATCAAAATAGTTTTCCGTTTGTTTTTCTACTGCTTTTTGCCTAGTAAAGCAGTAAAGCAATGTAAATATTTTTTATTAGTCGTTTTAGCTTCTCACACTATAAATGTTATATTTAATAGTAAAATAAACTATTAAAAAATAAATCATAATTTAAATGGAACTTGAAAAAAATCTATTTGCTGTGATATAAGATATTTGTATCTTATTCTAAACTTTTATTTTATTTTATTTTGTAATAAAAAATATGTGTACTTTTTTAATAAATAAAATTGGTGTTTAAAAAAAGCGGAATTGGATATGAAATCATTCGAGAAAAATGTGCGTTTTCAAAAATAAATCTAACAATAAATCTATTTTTTATGCTTCACTTTTTTTAATTTTATATTTTTTTAATTTTCTATCTTTGCATCAATAATTAATTTTTTTCCTAAACCTTCTTAATATGCTAAAAATATGAGACTTTTTTAAATTAATTCCTTATGAACTGCCAACACAAAGCGTGAAATAACGTTAATAATACAAAGTTAATAGTTATTTTTATTGAATTATGTACATAAGCTAATAAAAGTAATGCATGTCACTCTGATCTGAATTATATTTATAATTTTTATAATTCAAGTAACTAAGATAAATCATAAACAGAGTAAATAAGATTACCTTATTACAATAGTGTTGCCACATAAAAAGAGTTTAAAATTATTACCCGTATGATTAAATGATAATAAAGTTAAAAATGCAGCTGACTAAGACCCTCTAAAAAATAGGTTCGTTGCAACTACATCGTGTATGTGCTGAACGGTGATGAAGAAGATGTGAAGCACTTTATTCATAAATGCAAAAACAAATGATTGAGAGGAATATTTGATCTTCTAGTTAGGATTCCTAAATGATTATAGTTTGTCAGTATACCTATACCAGTATACAATTTTTTCCTATTTAAAAAGGAGTAACATGTATACCTATGTTGCTGAACCCTACCACGCCCATGTCTTTCAGATATTTTGAATGCGTTCTTTGGTACACTGTTTCAGTAACTAATTGCCTGTGCTATTGCATGTAATATCTCTGCAATTAAAACCGTGTTATATGTAATTTAAACGAAACTCTTTGATATAACCTATTAATTTGGTTACAGTTAATGTATTTGTGTGCATTTTACAGATTATACACACATACAGAGCAAGCTATAACTTCCATAACAACAAAAATAGCTAGTTGGATACAACTCTCTGTAAGTGATAACACCAAATAGTTACCGTAATGTTATTAAGCCTAATATAAGAGTTAACCAGTTTAATATATACTTATTAAAGTTGTTATTGAAATTCACATAGATTATGTGAAACTAATTTACATGACCGCAAAGTTCGCATAGACCTATTGGTTTCTATCTATCTATATTGGTTTCTATCTATACCAGATTAGTAGATTTTGTAGTGGTTTTTTTTTGCGAATCTAAGCAGTGCTGGAAATTCTATCCCTAAGAAAGATTTTTTAAAGATTTTGTTAAAGTGTCTTCCATTGTAGCAGAATTTAAATCCGGACCCAATAATAATTATAATTACTGCGCTCGCACCATGCTATAACGGCGTTTAAGTTTCATATATGTATTTTAAAATAATGTTTTGTTTAAAAATAATAATTTATAAATAATTGCAGTAATACAAGTAGTCCAAATATATCATATGCCATGCAAATAGAGTGATATAATTGTAAAAATATTACAGTAGACATTCACTAGTAAAAACTGCTTGTTTTTCAGGTAAGACAAATTTCCAAAAATGTTTTAATTTTTTCCAAATTAATTCAAGAAATTTATGTATCCTTTATTTTGTTTAATAATGATAAAACTCTTATTGTAGAGTAATATAATTTTTGTTTATAGCAATCCGCCATGTTTATTGTTTTAGATTAGTTTTTGCCCAATGATCAGGTGCTTAGAAGGAACCAAGTCACTTCATTTGGAGCATTTTTTAAAATTTTTTTATTTTTAACAGTCAAAGGAGAAGAAATAAGGAGTGTGTTGAGATCTTGCTTTCAGTTTTTTTTCGTATGCTATAAAAAAAATCTTTCTGAAATTAGAACCACGAATAAGCCATCCTTACTAAATCTGTTTAAGAAAATTATAAGTAAATTTTAAGTTTTTTATTTGAAATTACTTATTTATTTGTTATGTACAAATATATAATGCTGAGTTGTTATATTTTCTCAACGAACTAAGCGTTGTTTAGATATTCCAGTTTCAATCCGTTTTACTTTTGAATGTTAACGCGTTCCTAATATTAACATAATTCATAGCTTTAAGTCCATCTCAGTCTTAATAAAGTTTCTGCATTAAAAATTTTTTAACCGCTTTAATATTAACAAAAGTTAAAAATAACTCTTTAGTTTTCGTTAAAATTATTTATCTTTAATTAGTTTTACGAGTACTTATTTCACACTTTGTGTTGACATTGTTTTAAAATTATCTACGTTTTGGATTTTAAAATTATTTTATATAAAAACTTATTTCAACTATTTTGTAATCTTGTTATGAATTCTGTTCTTTAATTACTTTAGATACTACGGTATCATTAAAAGAATAAAACTAATTGCTTGCTATATATTTATTAATAAAATTTTTACAAATATTTTAAATAAATAATAAGTTACTTTTATTATGAGATAAGATCCTATGCACTTTTTTCCAACACTTATTCTTCAAGATACACTAACATAACAAATATATATTATTAATTTAAAATTGCAATATCCAAAAACCTAAGTGTCGCTATTTTTATTAAAATCTATTTTTTCCACTTATCTTTTTTTAACAATTTCTTTATCTCCAATTATCAAGATTGTTTGCTGGAATGTGCATAAAATAATGTGAAATATGCAAGAAAAACTATTTTTTCTAAAGCCTGATTATATTTTAATTTACGTTTAAAAAATCGCTTAAATTTATGTGATTGGCTAAAATATATCCAATTATATATATATTTAATTAAAAAATTTTATAACTATATATTAAAAATTATTTTGGTGCAAAATTTTAAAACTTTTATTTGGCTTTAATTGTTTCCTAAACAAATAACTATAAAAATATAATAAATACAACATTTTTACAAATATAATTTCGAAAAATATTAATTATTTAAATAAATATATATACAATAACAATAATAAATATAATACAAAATGTCACGTGAAAATTCGCCACGCCACAGTATACGACGTCGAGACCAAACGCATAATCATCAACAACCACCCATAATGGAACATGCGGAACGTGGAAATGCAGCAAATGCTGGTGGGGCTCATTCCAGTTCCGCTTCAAATATAACCACAGCCATTTCTGAAGATGGCGAAAATCCAATTTTGCCACCATTAAGCGGATCGGGACCAAGTAGGCAACGTTCATTGCGTGATCGCTTAAAGGATGGCATAACAGGAAGTTTTTCATGGCAGTAAGTTCATAATAAAAATTTTATTTTTATTTAATTGATCATTTTTATTATTATTCGATTTTAGTAATTTTTATTAAAATTTGTTTACGTTTTACTTTGTAGTTAAAGTTTTTTGGATTAAAATTTAGTGAAACAAAGTTAAGCGCGTAATGCTAACAGTAGCTAATATATAGTATTAGAAAAAAATACTTTCACTTAGCAATAAAATATATATTTATTTTTATACTTTTATAAACACCCTAGCAAAATTTATTCTATTGTATTTTTATTCAATTAAATAAGCACCAAACTGTTAATTACAGCACTGAGCACTGTAAGATTACATTAGATGCCACTGCAAAGCATGGAAATTATTAACACTTTTTATCAAAAACATAGAAATATTTCTATGTTTTCCCTTTTCATATAAGAAGCAGTGATTTAACTAAAATATGAGTATGTATAATTATTTTTTTTTTAAACTATTTCAATAATTGCTATATATTTATATTTATAAGTATTCCTGGTAGATCAATTTTTTATGCATTTCTATCAATATAGCCAATATAGCCAATAATGGGATTAATGGTTTATAGTATTCAGAAATGAATATATATTTTTTTTCGACTCTAATTTGCGATGGAAATTAATTTCATATGTATCCTGTTAAACGTAATTAGATATATACGTAAGAATCGCAGAGGGGCTTTGAAATTTCTAATCCGGTATATTTTCTATTTGTTAACCGAACATTTATTAGTTTAAGTGACTAATAATTGTCTTATTTCAGTTTTGTTTTTATATATTGCGATAGTTCGAAGTAATTAAAGACAAAAAAATTAAAAAGAAAAAATTTTAAAAATATTGTTTACATATTATATATTGTAGATTACTATATAATAGCAATTATCCCATTGTAATGTATTTGTAGGGTACATATACTGTATTTGGTCCATTAAAACCTTTTTTTTAAAACCAGTTCCAATGTTTTTGGCCAAAACTCACGTATGTTTAATATATATTTTATATATATATTTTTATTTATTTATATATATATATTTTATATAGCGTTTATAATACAGGGAATCAGTTTTAATAAAATATTATTTTGTTTTTTATGAGACTGATTTAAAATTTCATTATCTATATAAATTATAATAGATTCTCCATATTATATATATTAATAAAATGATTTGCAAAGTGCTAACCTAAATTAACGTATTTCTTCAAGCCCGCTATATACTTTTGTTTGCTATTAAGATCTATTGGGTATTATAATTAATAATTTGTTATTATTATTAAAGATGATTATTTAGAAGAGATAAATTATTAATTAAAAGATCTAAGATAGATCTCTTAAGTCTTCGCACATTCTCAACTCCATCCAGCTTAGTCTAATGTGATTCCTTTCCTTCTTTCAAGATATTTAGAATTTAAATGTAAAATTTCATCATATATGCTGGATCATGATCATGATAAATACAATTCTTACTCACAAGCCAGTGAGTAACCAATTGTATAATTTGTCAAATTTTTTAGATAAAAATCATTGTATTTTTATAGATTAAACTAGAATGGTAACAACTGCATTGTGTATTTTTAGATTAGTGCTATAGTAGCTTTATATGTTAAGCAATATTTTGGCAGTATAAAGCAATACGATTTTTTGTGTGTAATTAGTTATCTATCATGTAAATTCACAATTTAGTAATAAAATAAGTATATTTATTAATAACTTATTAATTTTAATTTTTTTTTTAATATCATTACACTTTGCTGTGATGACTACCTAGTCGTTACATTTTTTTTCAAAAACTTTTAGATTAATAAAATTTGCAGTAAAGCATTTATTGGATGCATTTTTTTTAAATTATTTTACAACAATAAATATATTTTATTTATTATTATTATAAAATACCAAATTTCTTTCATATTTGATATATTTTCATAAATTATTATAGTGGTAATGAAACATGGGTAAGTTATAAACTAATGAATGATATATACACATGTATAAAATATCTTCTATGGCAAAATTTAATTAAAAACTTTCAGTTATATTTACAATATTTTATTTAAAATATAATATAGTAATGTGGTTAACTTTAACGAGCAAAGTTATTCTTAAAATACAAGACAATCTGATTCATGGTTGATAACTTGAATAACTCTAAACTAACTTTAAGTTTTATTAAAATATATTTATTTTCCGTTGCCAAAAATTCTTTAAAAATGAAAGTTTTATTTAAAATACTTACAATTTAAAGTAATAAGCTCGGTAATCGAGTAATATGGTAACATTGTAAAGTGCCAACAACAAAATACGTGTACTCAAAATATAACTTGTTACTGCTATGCTCTGTTAATATTTTATTCCGTTACCAATTTTATCACGCGTGATCGTGAAAACCCCAAGTAATTACAAAGTACAATTTAATAAGTTTGAAACGTAGAAAAAAAACGAAAAACCATTTTTTTTAACTATTTTATTAAACGATTTTAATATTGTATTTAAAAAAATATTAAATAATCATTATAAGATGTTTATAAAAATAAAATGCATCTCTAATTTGTTTTGCTCTATGCATATAATATATTAATTTCTCACAGTCCCCTTATTTTTCATTCCTATTATATAAAGATAAATAATAGAGAAAATTGTATTAGAAATAGCAGTATTAAAGACTTTTATTAATTTTTTTTTAATGTCATACTTGTATTAATAAAAAATGTTTTTCTTTAACATTAAGTTAAATTTTTTTTATATTCGTAATATTTTACAACTATTTATACCTACTAAATATTAAAATTTATTATAATTTAATTTATTTTTGAATTTTTTTTATTATTATTAATTTCTTTCTATGTCGCTTATATTTGATAACTATTTACATTTAGGTATTTATTGTAGGAATTTATTATAATTTAATTAATTATTATTTTATTATTACTAGTATTTTTAATTTTTTTTTGTATTCTTAATATTTTATAAATATTTACATTTGATAAGTATCAGAATTTATTATAATTTAATTTATTATTATTTTATTATTACCAGTATTTAAAATTTTTTTTTGTTCTTAATATTTTATAAATATTTACATATATTAAGTATCAGAATTTATTATAATTTAATTTATTATTAATTTATTTTATTATTATTAAATTCTCTTTATGTTGCTAATATTTATAACTTTTTACATCTGTTAAATTATAAAATTTATTTTTTGTAATGTATTATTGGAAGACCTAAGATATGTAATTTCTTACGTCTTTGCAAATCCTTAATTAAATCTTACTTAACCATAGCTAATACTATAATATAATAACTCATTCTTTCAAAACATTTACAACTAAAAAATATAGATCTTTACGTGTACAATTGTTAGTGACAAACCTGTGACAATGCGGAGATTATTTAAGTGTTTTAAGCTATATCAAACATCTATTTTTGATGTGTTCAGTTTAATATTACTATAGCGTTGATTAAAAAAACTAAGTAGTTCTGTAATATTGATTATTAAAGAGATTTTAAAACATTTTTTTTAAAACTATTGTTTCAGTATTTAGTGCCTTTTTAATTTTCTGACAAAATCAGTTTTTGACTGAATAAGTGAATTTCTGAAAATAAGCTGCCTTACTTAACTACTTCAAAAAGTTAATATTTCAGCTAAAATTCACTAACAAAATTGTTTATAAAAATATTTAGACAAAGCACAAATGTTCTTTCACGTGCCTTTCAGTTTACATACAAAATTAAATACTTCATCCACTCTACTTCAGATTTCTTCCTACTTCAGTCTTCGCCATCTCACACCTTGGAATTCATAGTGAAGTCCTTGGAGTCAAGTGGCCTTTAGACAGCCTTTAGACATCAACGCGCGTTGACAAACACACGAAGTCTTCTCTCTCCATTACACATTAAATTTACCAACAATTTTTTAAACACGCCTCCAGCAAACAATGCAAAATTTGTGCACTCATCAGTATTAAAGCAATCGCTGAAGTGTCGACAGCGGCTGCTATGCGTAATTTCCTTACGAAAAATGATGACATTTAATTTATAATTTTAATTTATATATTTATATTTATTTTTATGATTTCAATTTATATATTTATTTTTATATATATTATATTTTATATAATTTAATTTTTTTTTTTGGTATTTTTTAATAACAAATTTTCCGTAGGTGCACAATGCAATTAATATTTAAAACAAAATTTTTATTGTAATTTAATGTTTGGTTATTTTTTTTTAGCCCAAGGTTATTAATATTTTAATTCTTCTTAATAACATGTTTTGGAAATTAAAAAATTTTACCTAGGTAGAAAATACAAATATTTAAAATAAAAGATACAATTCATTCATATTTGCAAACCATCGCATGCTAACGACAAATCATGCGTGCATTTAAACGATGCTTACCCTTCCACTTCTCAAAATAAATAAAATTTTGCATGCCGACCAAATCCGACTGTATATGCAAAAACACGAGCGTGGTTGAAGAAATATCAAAATGTTTTGATTTTCGTCAAAGCATTTCTTAAAATTTCAAATGTTACTATTACACAAACAAATTTCGCATTTCACAAAGTAGGAGAAAAGTAGAAGAAAAAAATTCTCATGTGAGAGCGATTTTTTAGTATATTTGTTATTTTATCTGGGGCGTGTTTAAAAAATGTTTAAAAAATTGTTTGTGTAATGGCAAGCGCGCGTTGACAACGAACGTTGCTGTCTAATGGCCCTTCAGATAAATTTACAAAGCAAAAAGTTGCTTTGCAAAATTTATGTTTTCTGTTAACACTTTTTTAAGGTTTTATGACCGAAAAGTATATTAAAAAATAAATAAAAAAATATATAAAAGAGTGTGTAAAGATAAATTACATTACAATAAATAACTTAAAAATTAATAAGAAAAGACATAGGAGAGGCACGTTTAAAACAACCGGGTTCACCTATAACGTTTACCCAACTAGCAAAGCAGGAAGAAACAATAAACTCTGGGGTTTTGTTTTTGTTGTGGC